CTCATTCTTTTCTGGAATAAGCTTCTATGGATACTGTTTCATCAGAGTAATGACATGTTAATTTTGCATTTATATATCCTTGGAATTTCTTTGGGAAATCATGACCACTTTAAGGTCACATATCAGAATGTCCCTGGAGGTTGAAATGTTCTCCTACTGTCCGGCTGTTTGTCTATCTCATTTCTATGCCGCCCCATAACCTGAAAGTTCTCTGGGCAGCTTGTGTGTGTGTGTGCATGATGCCAATATCAGATTTCGCTTAGCACAGATTAGTTAATCCTTACAGGAATCTACAAAACATAGTTTTTTTTAGAGAGAAACTTCAGGAAGAATTTTAAGGAGTGAACAATGAAAGAGCAGCATATGAGAAGATATGAAAGTTTGGAAGGAAGCAGGCCAATAGATGATCCTTCAGAAAACTCATGTTTCCCCCAGTTCATAGACTAAGGCTGCAATCTTAAATACACTTGCTGTGGAGTAAACTTGAAATTACATCGAACACAGTGGTACACAACTCTGAATAATCTTGCATAAGATGGTACTGAACATTTAGCTAAGTATATTTAAGAAACTGAATGACAAAAATCTTAGCAGATTAAATTTGGGAGCAGGCTAAAGTTTTAACCAAAATCAGTTTCTCAATTTTAAAACTGTTACTTTTTCCCTCACAATTTATATAAACTCATAAAAACAGATTTTAGGACCATCATTATGTTCTTGAATATATTTAGTTGTATTTTTAGTTGTATTTTTATAATTGCCTTTAAAGTGCTTTGGAGTTCTTCATTCTAAAAGATTCAGAATGTAGAAAAATACACTGATGCATTCTCTTGAGAATGCTTTGAGGCTTTTTGTTGAGGAGAATACCCTCTAAAACCAATTCGTTTTTCAACTTTTTAAATTAGGCAAAAATTAACAGGGATGCTAGCATGCTGCAAAATGAAGGATTGTCCTCCAGTTCCCTCTTTAATTGGATTTAATAGAAAGGTTTGTTATTTTGGAGCTCAGCAATCATTTCTACATTGTACTTACGTTTTTCGGCAAGTTACCTTTTGTTTAGTCACACCAGTTTGCCCTCTGGGTTATGGGTGTTTTGTGCCATGCTCACCATGGCAGCTACTTTATGAATAGGCAAGCCCCCCCCGCTACCCATGGCAGCCATTTTGTGAGCATCCATGAATTTTAACAATTCCAAATTTTACTTGTGGTTCCAAAAGCTTGAGGATTATAACAATAACCTGCACTAGTCTAACCTTAAGAATATTAGAACATAAGAAAAGCCATGCTGGATCAGTCCCAAAGTCCATCCAGTCTAATCTTCCATATGCATGGTGGCAAACCAGCTGCTCCAGTATCCCTCAAGCAGGATAGGTGCAAGTTTTCCTCCTGCCCAAGCTCCTCAGCAACTAGTGTTTATAGGAAATAGATTTCAGTTCATCTGCCAGCCAGCATCATACCAATATGCCACCTCTCTGCCTCTACTTCTTTCCCTTATCTGTGGTCTGTTCCTACAGAAAATTAAGAACAGAAAGAAATAATTAAGTTCCCATTTGCTTCTAGGCAAAGTTAAAATGTAGCTGTCTCAAGCTTTTGTGACAGTTTTGTGATTCCTGTGTTTGTGACTGGGAAAAAAAGAAAGGAATTAATTCCAAAATTAATGAAAAGACATTTTAGCTGCAAATCTGTACCCACATACCTTGAAATATACCCCACTAAATTTAGTGGGATTTACCTGTGAGTAGACATGTAGAGCATTGTGCTGTTAGACTGGGGGAATAGGGAGAATAATCTACCTTTTGAGGTAGAATAATGTGACTCAGTGCATCAGCATTAGCACAGGACTTGCCTGTTCTCAGCCAGCTAATTGCCAGCCATTTTTAGGAGCTTAGTCTCCCACTTCTCTTCATCATGTGTTCGTAAGTAGGTAGCTTTCCCCAGCCATCATTATATATAACTTGTATCTTTAGCAGACTAGCTTTGTAATTTGCTTCTCTCCTGCTTGTCTTGAGCAAATACCTATTGTGCCATGCAACATTTAACCTAAGTGGCAAACTTCGTAGGTCTGTGGTAGCTAAGCATGTGGCACATTTTCTTTTTCTCTCTTCTAATCTGAAAGAGCTGCTAGCATATTTAGCTTACTGCTGCCAGTGATTAGCTCTGCTTTCCTTCCTTTTTTCCCCTCCAGGTTTTAAAAATAGTAGCCTTACTTTGTAGCAAATAAAAATTGCCCTCAATAAGTATGGTTTAATAAATATTTGTAGCCATTTTACAGCATGGTCTGATGATTCATACACACTGTACTGCCTAGCCTAGACACAAACTGTCCTGCCACCTGAAGTGGGAAAGCACATATTCTATCCCCCATCCCTACCATCTCATCATATTCCCCCCTTACTGCTATAACCTTGCATCTCCCACCTCCATATTGCTGTGTCACATCTTCCACCCTCTTGTACAAATAATTTCTGTCCCTTGGGGATGTGGTTGGCTCTCTAAAGAGCCATACTGCTGCTTCCTCACCCAACCAGTTCTCCAGAAAGCCTTCCTGCTCTCTGGTTTACAATGATGATAATACGGTCCTAAGGTGTCTACCATCACTGGAGTCATCTCAGTGGAAGGAGGAGCTGGAACCATTGGAGTCAGTTGGCCCCTCAGCAGTCTCTGACACTAGTCAAGGCAGTCCAGGATCCTCAGGAATGATGTCTTCAAATCTGTCTCCTAAAGAAGCAGAAAGCTTAACTCCTAAAGTGGGGCAGGGCAGAGGCTACTTAATCCCTTGCAAGTGATGAAAACAGTGTCTGATCTTCACTTCGAGTCTCTGTATCCTGTTTATTTCCTGATAGTTTTGTGTGTGTGGACCTCCATGCTACTGAGCCCTGGACTTCTTGCTGACTCTTTTTGTACTGTACTCCTTGATCTTCTGTGGTTTTGAGCTTGGCTGTACCTCTCAGCTCACTCTGTGTCCTTTGAAAATCTGCTCGGCCATATCCCTATATTTGCTTAGCAAAGATCTAGGCCTCAGTTTACAGCAGGACAGCCTATGTTCTCAGTGCATATCAGCGGGTAGGTGGCTGAGATCTGCTGCCATCCTTTGTTTTGCTCAGTGAAGCAGAAGGTAAGATAATGGCTCCAAAGAAGCCATTTTCCTGGTGCAGTATTTGTTGCAGTGGGAGAGTAGGACTGGTGGGGCATGACCAAGATGCTCAAGAGAGCCCCACCAGCCTTGCTCTCCTACTGCAGCAGTTGTTCTTCCTCTTCTGTTGCAGCCTCACAGGAGGCTATGACCACTTTGTGGAGTCTGCTTTGAATTGCTTCACATAGCATCTGTAATGAGGCCCACATAACCCTAGCCCACATAGCAGTACAAGTTCAGTGTATTGTCACAAGATAAATCTTAATTATACTTCTGCAGTTTTTAATGGTGCATGCATGTATGTATCCTGGTTGCAAAGCCATGTATTCTACTGCTGAGCCATGACCCTTTTTATGACAATGTGGAGAAAAATGCACAAACTTCTTGACTATAAATGACTTGGCAAGGAGTACCAGCAGCTCTGTAAATTGGTGGTGGTGACATGTAACTGCATTAGATGGGGCTTAGTAATAAAATTCAAGTTCAGTGTAACAGACATATTTTCACTTGCCCCTTTCAGTCATGAACAGTAGTGGGAGGACAACCTAGTTAATGTAGCCTCAATACAAATTTACTAACCTTTCTCTCTTTTAGATAACTCTCATTTAGAATTGTCTCTGCTTTTCTTTGAAAAGCAGGAGAAAAGGTACATGGTTGGGCATTAAAATTCCACAAAAATGTGCAGATTTTCAAGTTCTCCCTCTCTTTTCCAGAGGTGGCATGCCTGCATACACCAGTTGCTGAGGAGCTTGGGCAGGTGGAAGTCTTGTACCCATCTTGCTTGTAGGATCCTGTGTGCAATTGGTTTGTCACTGTGTCCATGGCTTTTCTTATGTTCTTTTTATGCCAGGCTCTGAAGAATTCCAAAGCTTGCACATTTTTGTGGAATGCACATTTGGCCTAATAAAGGTATTGCCTGACTATGGAATTTTTAATTTTCTCCTGCTCTGCTTTATGTTGATGGACCATCACATTCAACACTCTTTGATATGTTAACCATTTACTTGTTTCAAGAACTTTTGGTTAGAATTCTTTTTGTGCATGTACCTTCCATACATAAATAATTTGTATATTACAGCCTCCTGGAAATCTAAATAACTAAAGTGTTAAAGGTACTTTGAAGAGGTGGAATGATTTTATGCAAGGGTCCTCAGACTTTTTCAGTAGGGAGCCAGTTGAAAGGTGGCAATGACCGGAGCGGGCCGGTGAGGCAGGGGTGCGCGGGTGCGTGGGCCGGTGATGCGGCATTGGGCGCATGCGGTGACAGCTTGCCCACTTGGAGATCTTCCACCGAGTGCAAAACCGTCTCTGAGTGAGCAAGCCATTGCCTCCCCGCCCACTCTGCAAGACAGCAAGCACATGCGCAGGCGGCAGTGCGGGGCAGATAAATGGGCATGGCGGGCTGGATCCGTCCCGTGGACCATAGTTTGAGGACCCATGATTTTACGACTTCCAGAGCCAAATAATAAATCTAAACCTTTCAGCTCAGTGTAACTACCTTCGTTTAACTCCTGACTGTAGTTTCCTTAGAGCTGAAAGAGAGCAGAGGGGTTGAGAGGAAACAATGGGTTTAAGAAGAAAACAGCAAACCCCACACGATCAGTCCAAATCTGATGAAAGGTTGGTAAATATCCCCATGCCCAGCAGGTTATTGTAATATTAAGCTATTATTGCAATGATACTTTGTCTTACAGACGGACATAGTAGTACAAGTGATATCTTGGAGTGTCAGGACTGGTAATCTAGGTGGTTCTTGATTTGAAGCATCTGCTTAATCTTTCAATGAACCCAAATTAATACCCAAATAAAAGAAATACTAAACTAATTAAAGGTTCTCATTTAGTCTTCTTGTTATTACACACTATAGGCTGCTGTTGATCTTGAATTGCAAGAACAGGAAAAAGAACAAGGGAGTTTCTCAAAAAGAAAGATAGTTTCCAACTGGCATCGTTATGAAGACATTGAGAAAGAAACACAAAATGATAGTAGTGAATCTCAGCGTGGGACAGACTTTAGTGTTCTCCTTAGCTCAGCAGGTAAGAAAGAGAAATCACAAGCAATGGTATTTGTTACATATTTCTCTCAGAATGATGGCAATTGGAATGTCTCACTCTTGTTGCTGATAATGGAAGATTCCTTGGAATGTTAACATTTATAAGATACTAATTAAAAGCTCATTAAGTTTCTTAGGAAGGAATCTTATATCTGTGAGTATTATGACTTTCAGCAGCTTTTGAGTATTTCTGAGAGCAGTCGGGGTTGATCCTGGGACATTTTTTTTTCTTTCAAATATGAGCTGTACCACTGAACTGCAGCACCTCCCCAGTGCAGTACTATGTAAAATTATCTCCAGGTTTGCTAATACAAAATTTGTTTAGTCCTCTCTCTTTCTGTTTCCCTTCTAACCAAGGACATGTGTATTTTGTCTAAGGACAAAGATGGATTTTGATTAACACCTGTAACCCTTAGAAGTATCCCGAGTGCAACTTGAACTTGTCTCAGAATCTGATGGAGCCTGATTTGAGTGTCTGTAGCCCCCTCCCACTTTCCATTAAAGACTGTACCTGAATACAGACTGCATGGCTTGAACTTCTAGTGCTGGCCTTAAAAGGGGAGTACAGTGGTACTTGGCTCATGAACGCCTCCGTTCACGACCAAATTGGGTTGCAAACAGAAATTTCAGAAAATTTTTCCTCAGGTCACGAACTCCACATAGGGTGACGATTGTGATTCCAGCCGCCTTCCCTGCATGAACGTGACTGCAATTGCGTTCAGGGGAGAAATGCCTGTGATCGTACTTGGGGTGGGGGGATGGCCATGGTTGTGCTTGCGGGGTGGGGGAGATGGCCATGATCACAGTTGTGCTCATGCAGGGAAGACAGGTGCAATCACGATCGTGCTGGAGGGGGAGAGATGGCCACGTCTCCCCCCGAGCACTCCTGCAATCGCGCCCATCTTCCCAGTGATTAAAAAAAATTTACAGAATGGATTAAACTTATTTACATTGAACCTTATGGGGAAATTTGACTTGTCTCATGACTGATTTAGGTCACAACCAGAGTCCTAGAACAGATTAAGTTCGTGAGCCAAGGTACCACTGTAGTTGCCCTGGGCTGTGGTTAGTTTACCTAAGAATGTGAATGAAGATAGCAAGAGGAAAAAGGATGTGAAAATGAGACCTATATATTCAGAAGTTCTTTGGGAATATCTGGAAAGGGAATCAGAACAATAATTGCAAAAATAGCTAGTGGTATAGATACGTTGCAATGAAACAATTTCTTATATCTTGTGAATGATTTTGTTTGACATGAACTTCATATGTAATCTCATGCATAGCAGTCTAATCAGTCTTGGTTTGTATTATTATATTAGCATACAGATCATATCGGAAGAAGCAGGTTATTAAAGGACCTGAAAAATTTATTTTAGTATGAAATGCCTTTACTTACCACCCTAAACTATAACTGCAATATATGCTACAAAAATAGAGTCTTGCAGGAATAAGAAACTTGTCCCATGCTTACGTCTTGTAGCCATGACACTTGCAACCTCATACCCGTCATAAACTTAAGTGTTAATAGTATGTTCTCACCACCTTTATCTAATATTTATGTTACTGTATTGAGCCAGTGTAAATATAATGCTTCTGATCCTTGAATCATGATTCGGGGATCAAAAGGCCACAAAAACAGGGTCCTCTTACATCTGTATTCATTTCGTTAATCTAAAAGAAATATTTTCAGATTTGTACTTGGACTTTGCTGGAATACTTAAAGATAGTTGAGTGATGTGTACAAGTGTCTGGTATTTGCTGCTTTGAAATCTTTTATGCATAGAAAATATAGAGTTAGAAATGTAAAAAATAGTACTGTGTGGGTAGGAGTGGACACGATTGACATAGAAAATATTTTTAGATTATGTTTTATATATACTTGTCTAAGCTGTTTTGTACTAATTCTTGGTTCTCTTAAACATCATATAAGTGGGAGTTCATTCGTGCAACAGGACCTGCCTTTTTTATTCTTCTACTGCAGCTGCAAAGCTCCCAAATCTGCTCCAAAAGTTTCTCTGACCCTCCAGAGCAGATTTGA